TTTTTTTTTTTTTTTTTTTTTTCATCGTACCCTAACTTTATTTTTTGCTTATGGGTTCTCAACACCGCATAATTTACTTGTGATACTTTCAGATTTGTCTATGTCGCTTTTTCTAACTTTTTAACGGCCTAGTGCTGAGATGTCGCTTTACTCGTTTTGCTATTTCGCAAGGCCGCTTTTATGCCAGCAAGTGGTATAATGGGTAGCGCAGGCGTTTTTTAACCACAAGGAATCAGGAAGGCTCGAATCCACCCTCTGTGTAATTCTTTCACTCACATTTCTGTACCATTTTCTGGTCCTTCCAGGATCACCTACTTAATCGCGACGTTTTAGTCATGCGCGATAACTCAAAAAATGGCGCAAAGTGAGTTTACGTTCTATTTAAGTTCGCTTTCGTTGTTTTACAAACCGTTCCAGCTCCTTAGTTTAAACGAATAGTCAAAACGTAAAAAAGTAACCGTAAAGAAAAAACTCTCAACAACGATCAAGGGAGGCGAATACAGGATACAGTGTAACAGAGATTGAAAAAAACCTAATCCTTAGATTCTTGACAGTGCATTTGTTCTGTTTCTTTATTTTTACCTTTTCTTTTAATACTTATTAACTATTCCATGTTTCTCCTGATCAATAGTCGCCTCTGTTTTAATTAAAAATCCTGAGTATTTTGACTACCTTTTAAAGTCGAGAAGTTGCCAGGTTGGTCCAGAAAGTAGTGACAAAGGGGTTCGTTAGGGATATAAACCCGCTCAGTGTCATTTATTGAGTTTCAGCTGCACAACTAAGTGTTGGACAAGACAGAAGATGTTTTAGAAGTGTGAGCAGAGGAGTTGCACGGGGGTGAGTCAGGAAGTTCCCCATCTCTTGGGCGATGGTTACAAAATGCCAGCGCTATCAATTATACCATTAACATGAAAGCGGCCTCGTAAAACCTCGGAAGAATTAAAGCGACATCTTAGCATTAGGCTGTTAGAAAGTTGGCAAAAGATACATAGACAAATCTGAAACTACCAAAAGTAAATCAGGCGTTGTCAAGGACCCCGTCTTTAAAAAATGAAGTTAGGTTGACGGTCATGAAACACATGTTTAGAAGGTGGTCAGGTTTAACTGCAGTAGTACCTTAATTTTTACGATTGTCCTGTTTGTTTAGAAATTAGTTTAGTTTTGTACTTAAATATCTGTATAACTTTTATCTTCATTTGTCAGGCATTTTCATACTAATGAATTATTTGTTGTACAT